ACACAAATACAAATTTTTTCTAAATTAAGGACTTACCACTTTCTGCTCTTCACTCATAAAGTCTCAATAGTCCAAAGTTGATGCCAAAGCTGTTTCAAATTAGCTGTTGTCATCTTTGTTGTTTCGCTCAGTCGCACCATCCTGCCCACCAAACCGATAGAGTGCTGTCATTGGTAAGATCGACCTGCTTCTGCTACCATCAGATCTAACGGCAAGATGGCGGTGCGTGTACATGCTGTGCCTTAGCGCTCTTCAAGGCAGCTCTTTTTAACTTGCGTTTTATTTTTAATTTAGTGAGTGCAACATATGGCTATGCAAACCCAAAATACAGTTTACGCAAGCTAATCAGCATCAGTCTGAAACAAACCGAGCACTCTGACTTTCCAAATGAGAGCAAGAGGACACCGGCGTCTCCGTGGATTACTCTTCTTGCCGTGAGGCGACAGAGGCGGTGCAGAGACAGAAAGCAGGCCGAGCCAGCATCTGTGCTAGGCTAGCATGAGTTCCACTGCCTAGTCTCTTCTTAGCAAGCGTACGATCGCTACCAAACAAAATGGAGGAATTAAGTATTTCCATATCTGCACAGAAGAGCATGCAAGACTGCTGTATCACGGTGTTCTCAGAGATGTGGCTTAATCCAACTATCCAGCTAGCAGGCTGCACCGCGCTGACAGGACAAATGGCTCTGCTAAGATCAGAGTGGGCGGACTGTGTGTGTACACAAATAACAGCTGGAGCACTGATGTTAAGATCACTGAGACTCATTGCTCCCCCGACCTTGAATATCTGTCTGTAAGGTGCCAGCCCTTCTACCTACCTTGGGAGCACTCCACCATCACAGTCACTGCTGTTTGTAGTTGCTGGTGATTTCAACGACGCAAATCTTAAGACGGTACTTCCCAAATGATATGATCATGTGCAGTTCCCCACAAGAGGTGAAAATGGACTTGATCATGTTTACAGCAACAGCCCTCCCCCACCTAGGCCAGTCTAACCACGTCTCCCTGTTTCTAACTCCAGCATAGACCACTCAACAATACAGCGCTGCCAGGTCAGAGCTGAAGACGGGCATCAGAGAGGCCAAGGTGGCACACAGGAGAAGGATTTGACTTTGCTGGACCCCCACCAGTATGCCTACAGTACAGAACCAACAGATCAACAGATGATGCCATCTCTATCACCCTCCACACTGTTCTGACACACCTGGAACAACCAGGTATGTGTGCAAGGCTGCTATTTGTGGACTACAACTCTGCATTCAGCAACGTTCTCCCCAGCAGACTATTCCACCTGGCCTTGAGCACAACATCTGCCTCTGGATACAAAACTTTCAAACAAACCGACTACAGTCTGTTAGGTTAGGCCACCACCATTCCTCTTCCCTGTCCTTCAGGAGCCCCACAAGGCTGCATGCTGAGTCCCTTCCTGTACTCCCTGCACACGCATGACTGTAAGCCCACCCACAACACCAACGCTATCATTAGGTTTGCCAATGATACAACCGTAGTGGGCCTTATCAGCCAGGGAAGACGTGCAGCAGCTGGTGGACTGGTGCACAGCTAACAACCTGACCCTGAACATCAACAAAACCAAAGAAATCCTCACTGATCCAGGAAGGAAAAAGGTGGAGCACCAGACACTCACAATTCAATTCAATTCAATTCAAGTTTATTTATATAGCGCCAAATCACGACAAGAGTCGTCTCAAGGCACTTCACATAATAAACATGAGGGTTCTCAGGAAGATCACCCTGAAACAAAAACAGCTGGTGTGGTTTTATCACTGCTCCTTAGAAAGCGTCCTGACCATGGATGTAATTTTTTTGGGGGGAAGGGGGGGGGGGGGACTGGGGGGGACATGTCCCCCCCACTTTTTCCAAAGTGAAGTTTGGACCCCTGCACTTTTTACCATCCAAAAACAATATTACGCTATGTTAAATTGACACTAGTTGAGCTCTAGGACCAAGCGGAAAACAACCGTTTGTGTTGAAGCCTGTTTCCCATTAGAGCATATGTAAAGACCCCCCCCCCCCCCCCCCCCGCTGCCCCCCACTTCTAAAGTGAAAATTACGTCCAAGGTCCTGACCAACAGCATCCTGGTGAGGTACAGCAGCAGCTCTGCAGCTGACAGGAAGGCCCTGCAGAGAAAATAACACGCACCTGCTTACCCTGGATGGCTTCACCACTCGCTGCCTTTCAAAAAACCATAAACATCCTAAAGGTCTTAACACACCCTGAACCATCTCAGGCTTCTTCCATCTGGTAAACAACACAGAGCAATAAAAACACACACCAACAGGCTGGTAAACAGCTTCTATGCAAGAGCATCACTGAACTGAGAGTTGTTGCTAGGAAGTCACAATAACAGTGGTTCTGCTGGACATTAGTGCACTGCAGCTCCATTACGTTAACCCTGATACCTCGTGTGATTCTTTACATTTATATTATGTTTACTTTATATTCCAGTTTAAACTTGTCCCATTACTGTGCTTACATTTACATGTTTAAACAGATTGTGTGTGTGTGTGTGTGTGTGTGTGTGTGTGTGTGTGTGTGTGTGTGTGTGTGTGTGTGTGTGTGTGTGTGTGTGTGTGTGTGTGTGAGTGAGAGAGAGAGAGAGAGAATCAGTTTATTTTACTATCTGCTTACACGAGCTGTGTTTAGGGAGCTCAGAGTGAGTTTGGTGTTCACCTGCAAAGACAATACAATTATCTTGAATCTGAAATTCAGTTTAAATCAGCCAATATTTAAAGTTCATACTAAGAGTGAGTCCATAATTCCGGCTACCTGTAACATTTGGGCCACAGGGAGGCTTTTTGAAATATTCAATGAAATTCTCCTTTTTTTATTTGGGTTTAAAAACATTAAAATAAACGTGTGCTATTTCAAATGAACTTATTGGCTAACTGACTACACACTGTAAACCCGAATAAGTTCCCAGAACTCAAAAATTTTGAGGCAATCAATTGCCTCAATTTTTTTGAGTTTTGATACTGAAAATTTTAAGTTTTCATAAATAAAATTTCTTAATAAATTTTACTCATACATTTGAAGTTTATTAAATTAAAATTGCTCATCCAATCAACTCAAAAGTTCAACTGTACACTGTAACCTCGAATAAGTTCACTGAACTCAAAATTCATGAGGAAACTGATTACCTAATAATTTTTAAGTTAACTTATCTAAAAACTATAAGTTAACCATAATTTAAAAAATATGACCTGAAAAAAATCAAAGCATTTAACTACATCCAACCTATAACTTAGCACGTAAGCAACTTACAAAGCTTTATTTCACTAAACTTGCATATTTCATTTTGATTGAACTTTATTACATGTTTTTACTAACTTAATAATATAACTTATACGAACTCTAAATGGACCTATTAAACCCTAACCCAAATAAGCTGAATTTACTTAAAAGTGACAATGTGACAGGCTGGTGAAGGCAGTAACTAACACCAGATCATGAATCACACACCCCTAGATGCTAACAGCCAATACAAGTGGAACACTCAAAGTCAAGTCAAGAGTATCTGGTGTGAACAACCACAGTATTAATAAAAATGGGACAGCACAGCCGTACAGCATTACTTTGACCAACCTCCTCACTTATGGTGCCAACATGATACAAAAAGTAACATCACATCTGCAACACTGAACGAAATAATAACTGAGAACAACAATCATCCACAATAAACATGCATAAACACCCCAAAATAGAGCAAAATAACTGAAAATATGACTACCCACAATGCACCACGCCCACCAGTTGTTTATTGTTCCTGAAATCCAACACAATTGCTAGTTTGTGGTTGTTTTTCTTGTAAATCCACAAATATTTAAAATAATATACAAGTCTGTTTATCAGACACACTTTAGGGTTGACGTAAAGATGAATGGAATAATATAGAAACATAACATAATAAATCGATCTTTCTTTGGTTAATATTACTCATTAAAATTAAGTTATGTTTACTTAAAAAAAGAAATAGTTCAGATTAATTAAAACGTTTGAGTTCTATGTACTTAAAACAAGAAAAATGTTGAACAAGCTCAACACATTTGAGTTCTAAAAACAGTTTTTTAAATTATGAGTTTTATCTACTCAATATATTTGATCATTTAGAACTTTAGGGTTTACAGTGAAATTGTTTCACAAATATTGTAACACTTGTTTTATTCCTTCCTCGGGTTTTGTTACATGCCTGAAAGGTCATGTTAAACAAATAAACATCCATCCATCCATTTTCTGAACTTGCTTGTCGATGTAGGGTCGCGGGGGGTGCGATCAGGCGGGGTACACCCTGGACAGAGAGCCAGTCCATCGCAGGGCAACACAGAGACACACAGGACAAACAATCATGCACTCACGGACAATTTAGACAGACCAATTAACCTAACAGTCATGTTTTTGGACTGTGGGAGGAAGCCGGAGTACCGGGAGAGAACCCACCCATGCACAGGGAGAACATGCAAACTCCATGCAGAAAGATCCCAGGCCGGGAAGCGAACGTCAACAGCTCTAACCACTGCGTCACTGCGCAGCCCAACAAATAAACACGCGCACACACACAAAAAACCCAATATTCAGTCCAAACTTGTCAGAGTGAATCCAGAAATAGAGCTAAAGAATGAACCCAGTGGGTTTTAGAGTGAGAAAACAAATTTTCAGATGTTAATCGGCTGATGCACCGTTTATAAACACTGTGTGATGTTCTTCACGTACAACAAGTTGTGGATGAACTGCAGAGGTCCAACATGAGTCTAAACCGAATGAACCCAGAATCTGAGTTAGAAGAACATACCTGTTAAAACACACACACACACACACACACACACACACACACACACACACACACACACACACACACACACACACACACACACACACACACACACACACACACACACACACTGAGAGAGAGAGAGAGAGAGAGAGAGAGAGAGAGAGAGAGAGAGAGAGAGAGAGAGAGAGAGAGAGAGAGAGAGAGAGAGAGGGCGGGTGGGAAAAGCAGGAGAGAGATAGGGAGGCGCGCAGAGGTCTGCAGTCTAAAATCTTGGCTCGCATAAAGCCGACACGACGCTTTGGCTGAGATTTTGGGATTATCTCATCATCCTGCACGCTTCAACGTTGGTCCAGAAGTTCTCCAACGACCGAGGAGATCTTTAGTTGGATTAGGATCACCGCTGAGGCTCTCCATCATCTCCGAAGAGTTCTGACGTGGATTAGTGGCTTTTAAACATCTAAACTGAGGATAAATTCGACAGCAGGACACACAAGTCTTCAACCAGGAGTCTGTTGGCTTTCGTGGGTCTGGTGAATTCGGTCACATCTGTGGATCCGACGGAGGATTTTCCAGACTCCCCCCCTCCCCCCGCCCCCAGTCTTACTGGGTAGATCACTGTCCATTTCCCTCTCCCCCTCATTCCGCTTGCCTCCCCTCTTCTCTCCCCCTCCTGTAAAATCTATCTTCTCAGACACTCTGAACCCCTCGATCCCCGCATGACATGGTTCAGTCCAGCTGTGAGATCCGAGCCTCCTCCATGCATTGGGATTTTTCTCAGCACCGACACCGAGTGAATCTCCCTTTTCTGCGCATCTGAGAACTCATCGTGCCTGCCCAATTAGAGGAAGAGAAGAAGAAAAAGCCTTGTCATGACCGCCACTTCCCATCGGGACGGAGCAACGGGACTCGGGAGGAGAGTGGAATGTAGGGAAAGGGACGGGGTTCGGATTTTCTCTCTAATGAAGGCGGGAGTACAGTTCTGGAGCCGCGCGCTGCTCTTATACACGGGGCTGCTGGCCGCCTCGGTGAAGGGTAAGTCCCCATCCTCATAGCTGGAGACACACACACACACACACACACACACACACACACACACACACACACACACACACACACATCTCTCCTCCCGCTCGCTGACTGAATGCAAATCAGCAACAGCTACTCAAAATGACATTTAGGATCAGACTTGTGACGTGGCTGATCACCACTCACACTTATTAAAGCTGCCCGCGGGGGTGGGGGGTGTTATTCTTCAATTACGCAGAAAAACGAGTGTGTGTGCTGGTGTGTGTGTGTGTGTGCTGGTGTGTGCTGATTTTGTCACTTTCATAAACTCACATCTTAAACTAAAATTACCATTTGCCATTTAAAACGATTTTATTGGTCTCACGCACGCGCGCCTATAATGAACTCTTGCACGGACACGCAACAGATTGTCTCCCTTAAAGGCGAGGCTCGGTTTGAGCACTGAGAAATCCTCCCGTTTTTCTTTTTTCAACTCTTTTTTTGGCAAAGCGAGCCGGTCGCTCCATCACTGTCTCCGATTCCCTCCGCTGTAAGAACACTATTTTTAGCCGAAGCCAAGAATACTGCCACGGGCACAATATGAATCTGACAGTGACTCATGGCTCTGCTGCTCACACTCATACCTGTGACCGGACACCTCACAACCCACAGGTGCTGGGGGTGTGTTCTGGTGCAAAATGGTCCGGGACAATAACATCATGTCTGCCAGTCCATCTCACGGATTCAGGGTGAACGAACTTCCAGCAAGGTGACATCAGCCTGTCACCAAGGTAACCATGTAAACTTTAGCTGGTGTAGGTTCAGGAATCATGTGCAGGGTGGGGGTGGGGGGTGTCTGGCGGGTCCCTCGGCGCTGCTGCAGCCACCAGCAGTTGCCTCATCCTCCCATTGAGCGGCACCAGAGCTTCGCGCTGTGAACAGGGACAAGGAGACCTGTGGTTCGGTCCACAGACTTAATCACACTCGCAGACATTCACCGAATTTGCTGATTGATGTGTTTAAGATCCTGCAGATATCAAACGGATATTAGCCCAATCTCTCGCAGACTGTCAAATATCTGTCTCGATTTGCTCACAAGTCTTTGTTTAATACCACCCGACTCAGCCAAGTTAAGAAAACAGATCCTTAGGATGATTCAGACAGAGAGAGATGTGTGTGAGGTTTCCGGCAGAGCCGCGCAGCTCCTCCTCACAGCAGCGGTCCCAGAGGAGCCACCGCTCAATGAGCAGCAATCAACCTTCACTCATTTTTTGGGGGTGGAGGGTGTGTGTGTGTTCGGCGGGGGGGGGGGGGGGGGGGGGGGGGGGGGTGGCGGCTGACGCGTCCTCTCTGTCTTTTCAGCCCTGCCATTATCAGATCATTCCTCAGCGATAACCTGGACTTGGTCATGATGTAACCCGCAGTAACGGTCTGACGATCATCTCCACCTTTCCGTTAAAGCAGTTTGTGTGTGTGTGTGTGTGTCCGTGCGCGTGCAAGGGTGGGTGGGAGTGTGAAGGTATTTTAGGATGGATGTGTTATCTCCCTTTGTGTGGAGATAAGGACAGGATGCTAAATTCTGTTTAGTAGGACTGAAACAGCTGATGGTGTTACGCATCAGCTGACCAGGGGGATCTCCAGCTCCGGGGTGACGTCTTCAGCACCAGGGACAGCTCCTCTACCGACAGCAGCAAGAGAACAATCATCTGAATGTTTCGTAATACATTCAGTGTTTCTAGAGCTTCTAACCACATGATCTCCAGTTCCTTCTGGATTGATTCATTTTACACGTCTTAGGCCAGTGCTTAGTTATGTTCATCACTCACCCTCATAAACCACGCCATGGTTGTCACCAGTAATGTGAATGAAAATACCAAACTAGACACTGTGATGAAACATCTCTGATGCATACAATGATCCATTAAGTGATAATAAGCTGTGTTCTTCACTGTTTGGGTCCGACCAAAATAGGAAAGGCATTTTCACAGCTTGGTTCCTCTGGTCCAGATCAGGTCATAATTCTGTACACGTGTAGCTTTACAGTAGTTTGGGTTGCTGCTATGAAAAGACAAACATCAGTGCAGTCTGCTGATTGGCCAGACAGCCTGGGGGCGAGATTACTAGAGGTCAAAACAGGAAGACAAGACAGCACAAGGCAGCTTTTTTACACATACAGTTGAGTGACAGCCCCATAACTGATGGGTTGCAGGATGGAGCCCTGCTCACTCTGCTGCAGTCTCTGTGCCCTTGGGCAAGATACTTAATTCTCCTTGCCTGGTTGGAGGGGCCAGAGCTAGCTACGACAGCCTCACCTCTGTCAGTAGGTCCCAGGGCAGCTGTGGCTACAATGTGGCTCATTACCACCAGGGTGAATGAGTGAATGACCGGATGTGTTGTAAACACGATGGGGGCATTGTGACCAAAATCATCACGGTTTTCAGTGTTGTCGCGGTATTTTTTTAAACGTGTTACATTTTCAGGCAACTAAATAAACCCTGTATAATACGGTCCTCAGTTTGTGTCTAAATTTTGCCTAAAATGTGTTATTTTGTAATTATGTTATTTGTTTGCATTTTCCCCTTTAGTCTTTAAAATACCAATATTTGCCCATAACTTCTTATTTTTTGTCTGTTTGATGTCATCATTTTAAAAATATTAGATCAGATGATACTCAGTACTCAAGTAGCCTTCTAATCAGATACTTTTTTTACCCTTACTTGAGTAATAAACCCTATATCAGGAAAATATTGTCCTCAGTTTGTGTCCTTCCAGTGAGCTTTGCAGATGTGGGAAAATGTCATCAGGCAGTAATCATTGTTAAATTCATAATTATTCTCGGAGAGAGACCAACTCTTATCTGCCCCTGGGAGCCCCGTAATGCATAGCGTCATTTCAACATGGCGGTGTCCGCGACACGGTTTATATGCAGGTAGCGGCGCTGCGGCTGCTTTATATAGCGACTCGTTGCATTCTCCCTCAACCCAAATCCTCGGATCACGCATTTTAGCTAAAACGCTAACGTTAGCTTGCCTTGGGTTGACTGTAGAGTTGTGGGTGATGGTCACGCAGATGTGTTATGAGATTTGAAGCGTTGCTGCCTTTCACAGACACTTTTTCTGCACGTGCTGCAAACAGGATAGCCGTCTTCTATCAACTGTCCCTCGGTATTCTTCAAATATCCAAAAGATGTCCATACTTCCGATGTTGTCTTCTTTGAGGGATAAAAAATGTCCTCCTGAGCGCTGCCGTCTCCTCCTTTGGCCATTATATCAGCTTTAGCTTCAAGAAAGTTGTGGTTGTAAGCAAAGTGTGCATGTGCCGCCGGCAACTTCAGCAGATGATACGGTGGCTGGTAAGGGTCACCGCGCCTACACTGCAGCCACGGTAAACCCACCGAGATAATAGTTTTTTTAAAAACAAGACGTTCATTATTATTGTCAACTTTTTTACCGGGTTTTATGCTACACCGGTTACCGTGACAACCCTAATATATATATATATATATATATATATATATATATATATATATATATATATATATATATACTTCCATACAGTATATCCAAACTTCATCATTCCAGCATTCTAAGAATCCAGACTGACTGTGTAACCTGTAGTGCTTGTATAACATTTGTTTACATATGTGAAAATTGCACAAGTAATTGTACGATCATCTATTGAAAACACTTGACGATTTAAATAGTTTTATAGCTCATGTTTCCTCTCATCGGTATCTTTGTTTCTCGTCCATCAGCCTGTGACTCTCAATCTGAGACCCGGCATCTTCACACTCTGGTGCCTTTTATCTCTCCCATTTCTCTACATAAAACACCGAGCAATAGAGGAGGCAAATGATCTATTAACTTAAAGCTAAGGACATGCTTGGACTGTAAACGGTGTGTGTTGGAATCTAGGGGAGGAGAGCTGCAGAGACATTTAGCTGAGTAGATCGGCGCTCATGCTGAAGATGTGACAATGGCTGGCAGAGCTACGGATGTGGGTGATAATGTCAGCTGAGAGGAAATCTGACTCCTTTGTTTTGTGTATTCTGGCCTCCTCTTAGTAAACAAACAGTTTGGAGGTCAGGTTTTATTATCCAGCATCAAGCAGACATCTATTTCAACAACTAACAGCTTGTTTATGAGCCTGTGGGCTCGTGCACATGTGTGGTTGGACGAGTTTGAGACATAACCCACTTTAACTCTGGGACACTCAGACCTGAGGGCTGTTAGATCACTGAAAAAGGTTCAGAAGAATTTCACAACCAACAACAGTCTGTAGGTTTACATATTTCAGTTGATGTAAATGGTTAATCCTCATGAGTGCCTTTGTTTACCTGCCCACCTGCTGATGTGTCAGTCATGCTCCTCTGTCTTCTCCTTCTACCCCACCACCTTCCTGCTCCTCCTTTGTTGTCCTTTCTGGTGATTCATACTGTCATCTGTCTCCAGATGGCCCGAGCTCTGTCACTGCACTTCGTTACAGCTACATGCACTCACACACTCACACACACACACTCACACACACACTGACTGCCCCAAGAAAACAAGAATTCAGAATTTTTGAGCAACGTCATCCACTTTTTTTCCCACAACCACACTATCCAGTTAAATGATTAGGGGGTGCACACATGCGGCAATTCTGGATTAGATGGACAACACATCAGATGAAACGGAAGTTAAAAAATAGCAGAAAAAGGGAACTGAGCAATGTGCCTTATTGGGTACAGTTACGTCAACAGTTTCTATGGTTCTGTGGGAAAATAACTTCCATCCATCCATCTATCTTCTGAACCCACATGTCCACGCAGGGTTACAGGGGGGCTCGGGGGGGACGGGGGGGGGGGGGGGGGGGGGGGGCGGCTGGTGCCTATCTCCAGCAGTCAACGGGCAAGTAGGCGGGGTACACCCTGGACAGAGAGCCAGTCCATCGCAGGGCAACACAGGACAAACAATCATGCACACACACACACACACCTAAGGACAATTTAGACAGACCAATCAACCTAACAGTCATGTTTTTGGACG